GACTCGTAATTCTAGCCGAACAAGTCGCTCATTTAATTGTGTCTAGCCTATCAAGTTCCCAAACTATCTGAGAATAGATCACTTTTTTTTTTTTTGCTCTGGAACACAATCTATGACCATTCAGAGAACTATGTTCCCTTCCAGCGTGGGTACCTTGTCTCTAAAACTACTCTAAACCTCTCAACTAGTGGAAAAAGAAAATGATGCTTTTAAGAAGTGTCCTCCCAAGGTCACTTAACTAGTTAGAACAGTCAAGCCTCGAATGTGGGTCTCCACTGGTCTCCTGACTCTCTAACAAGCAAGCAGTCTTTACTTACACAATTTTGTTCTCATTTCTGCCAGCCCTTGTCCCTAATCCTAATCACTCATCTTGCTTCTGTGCCTTCTTCACCAATGTCTCTTCTTAGAATGCCTTCCCCATCCCCCATTCACTCCAAATCACGTCAACCTTCCAGGCCCCATATTCTCCAGGAAGCCTTCTCAAACACTTCAAACCCATCTCACTATCCCTTTCCTGAAAGCCTATTACACACAGTTGGTATTAGGCATTCGAGTGACTATTTCAAAATTACTTTATAGGTGCTAGACTTAAATTATCAACTAAACCACATACTCCTTCAAGATGCTATATGTATTTTAGGTTTCTTTGTACTGTTTTTTAGTGTCTTGTACATATCAAACACTCCATAAATATTTGCTGAGTGATACAAGGAACATGATTATCATTTTTTAAACAACTGAGTAAGTGAGATTTGACCATAGTAAGTTATTAGAGCCTACTAACCTGGTATGTTGTAAGGGCATCAAATTCTGTGCAGCCTATTTACACTAGCAATCTGTGGGTAAGTCCTGAAACAGAGCTGGGAAATGAAGACCACATGAAAGTCTTGGTTTGATCTTCCACCTACCAGAAATTAGTCTTCTTCAATTTCACAAACATGCAAAGCTCCAACTGGCCTCTGATGTGCTAATTCACAATTTCATCTTTGCTTTCCTTAGTCAATTGTACAAAATGAGACTTCCCTAAGAATCCAGTATACAACAGTGGAGTGAGGGAGAAAATAATGGATTTGCAAAGTCAAATTTTCAGCCAGTGCTCGCGTGGCTTCCTAATCAAGACTACACAGAAAGAAATGCAAATAACAACAGAAAGGCAGTATTATCTGGCACATTAGGGTACACTGAAAGCACTACAACCCCAACATTCCCATTTATACTTTGTTTGCTGGAAATGACTTTTTAGTGAGGAATGGTATCTGAGGCATGAGGCATATCATGACATCGCTCTCACTCAGAGACTATCCAAACAAATAATACCATATCCAAGTGGTAATTCTGCTTCTCAAATGTATAATGAAAAGAACACCATGTTCAACTTTAGCCTCCTCACTTACCCTCTTATCCTCTATCATGAGACTCTTCACAATTGCATACTTGAACTTCAGGGCACAATTACTCAAAACAAGTGTCCCTGCAGAATATGAAACCACCTCAGCCAGTTTCACTGCCTGTAAAGTGTGGGACTCTCAAACTATGTCCAAAGCTTTCATCATTTTAAGAATCCAACAATAGTGAAAAATAATCCACATAAAAATGCAGCTTCTCATGAGGCAAGCTTTTTACTCTTCTTCCAGTATTTCGAGTAAAACCACGGTTAGTCTGAAACAATTTATATCACCACATCTCACTATGAACTAAGAGCCTCTTTTTTAAAAGGGAAGTCAAAATCAGCTACTCAAAACAAAATCATGGAGTCAAATGATGTGTCCATTAACACCCAAAGTACACTTCATCACAGTTTGCTAGCTACTGCTCTGAAACTGCATAAGCTTAAAGCCTAACTGTGTAAGCCAATATTTCTGATTTCTTATAACATCATACTAGCAAGCAAACTTGATATATGGTGACAACGAATTTCATTTCTAAACAGTAGACACAAAAACAGAGTATGTATTTAGGGTAACTCTTAGCATCTATAATAATTCTTAACATTTACAAGCACTCCTGTAACATACATTTCTGTCTAAGTTCATACTTTAGTTGCCTGTTTTCTAATAAGCCCTCACATTTCTTAGTGATAGTTCAGTAAATCTTCCAAACTGAGTACAGTGCGACACCAGAGGTTTTATTTTAATGATCACTACACACATATGTCTGACTACCCAGCATGGACACAAATGTGATAAGCAGCAAACAAATCTATCCTGTCCCACAGAACCAGAAACACATGATGACTTTTACTCCCCACTGTGTGTTTTTAACCTGAAAAGTTTATTTACAGCTTTCCTACAAAAATTGGGATTCCTAAGTGTGAACACTGACAGGCTATTTGATGATATTAGGGAACTGTTGTTAATTTACCTAGATGTGATACAGTACTATGTGATTTAGGTGCCCCCCCCACCTTTTTTGAGTCATTATCACCTACAAATACATACAAATTTCTCACATCACATCTGGGAGAGGAGAATGAGTAAATGGGATACAGATGAGACTTGAGCTGGAAGGTTTTGAACCTGGGTGATGGGTATATTAGGGTTTGTTATATACTGTTCTCTGTACTTTTTGTGTATGTTTATATTTTCCTTCAAAGTTTTAAAGAAAGTTTTAAAAAAGTTAGACCTTCATGCCCACACAAAGTTGTGCAAATGGTATTCAGATATGAAGGTAGTGTAATGTTCAGCAAACCAAAGTAATCTGGGTTTTGAATCTAGAAAAGTAGCAGAAAAATAATCACAGCAAGGAAAGGAATGGTATTAATGGTACACTTTGAACTTGGTCTTCTTTAAAATTGTAAGTTTTTTACACCCAAAAGAAACTACAATAGGCACATTTTCTCTCAAAAGCCAAATGGATAGATATATACGTCACGAGACTAGCCAAATACTTATTAAAAGTAAAACAATAAAAAACAACTGCATATGATCTATTCATCTCTACTTGCCTTTCAAAAATTCTCATGGGAATCTGCGGGCCCCTCTTGCTTACTTACTCAAAGGGGCCACAAAGCAGCCCAGAATAACCATACAGTTAGCAGAACCACTTGTAAGCAGCTCTTACAAATACTGTCCTAAACCAACCCCTGACAGCAATGGTAAACCAAATTCTAGGCAGCACTTTCTAATTCACGTATTAGGATACATGCTGCCATTTCAAATGCTATTTTAAAGCAAGAGAGACAGAGAGAAAGAGGTCACATTGTACAGTACTCTCCTACCCTGGCAAGTTGAAGCCACAGTTAGAATTATCCTAATAAGTGGTGAGCCTCAACACGCAGAAAAACTGTGTACGATCCATTTTACCCAATAAAGCACCAGTTCTAGAACCAAAAGATAACTGATTCAATCACTAACATCAAAATCTATGGCCACCAATACCACCACCACCACGACCACCACTCTCCCTTCCTCCCCAACCACTGGCCGCCATCCACCACCACCACCACCAGCAACCCAACCAAAAAGCAGTTCAAACAGAAAAGAACAATGCTTACAGGAAGGCTTCCTTTTTTAAAATATTTAAATTTGACACCCAAACACACACACACACACACACACACACACACACAAGCAATCTAAACCTGTATAGTTACTGCATGTGAGATTTAAGCTGTTGTTAACAAAGCGTGTACTTAAACATTGCAAACAATACCACAATAACAACAAAAACCAAAGGGAAAGAGAAAAGTTTCTTTCAGGAACCTCAAACCATCACATCAGGTGCAGGAGAGGCTAGAAACCAACTCCTATCTTGGTTTTGTGCTTAAGAAAGCAGACCAACTCCGCAGAATCTCAAAGCACTGTGCGTGTGTGGTGAGTTGGGGGTGGGGAGAGGAAGGTGGGGGAGGTAAAAAGGGGGTTTCATTTATAGAAGCCAGTTACTGATGCCAGCACCAAATCAGATCCGTCCAGGTAAAGAGAGTTTCCCCCCCACCCCTAGACAATCTCCCCCGCTACCTCCCCACCGTCACCACCCCAAGGAGCCGGTTAGCTGGCAAGAAAATGTGCATTTGGAAATCAACGCTGCAGGTGCCCAAGGAATAAAGAAAGACACACACACATAGATATACACACACACAAAGCCAATCATAAAGAAAAAGAAAAGAAAACACAAAAAAAAAAGGAAAAGGAGAGGGACAATTGGGTGACAAGCCCTTCAGATACCAGCAAGGATTTTATTCTTTCCTCACACCAGTCCTCCTTGGTGTACCTTTTTCCATCATTTAACTGAATTGCTCATGTACACACACATGTGCATGTGTATATGTATAGATAATATTACAATTAACCCTTTCTGTAGTAGACCCCAGTACGGAATACAGAAAGATATTCCATCCTTTCCTCTCTTCTCTCCCCTCCTCCCTCCTTTCTCCCAACCGAGAGAAAACGCCCCCTTCCCCAGCTTCACCAAAAAAAAAAAAAAGGAAAAAGAAAAGAAAAGAAGAGAAAAAAAAAAAAGACAGGGGAGGGGGGCAAAGAACCACAAAACCTCATCAGTCTCCGGTCCCGAGGACACCCAGGAAAGGTCTATACTATACAGAAACACACACCAGGGACATATGGCTCTGTAGAAAGCACACAGAGAACCGTCCACAGGCGCCCCAAACCCAGCAAAGAGACTTCCACCAGCCAAGAAGCCATGATTGGGGAGGGAGAGGAGAAAGGAGTAGGGGCAGAGCTCTCCGTGGAGGGGGGCGCATTGTTATGATGCCTGAACCCCTTTCTTTCTGCCCATCTGCTGTGGAGGGGGTACTGGGAGGGGGCGCAGGGGGGAAGCCGAGCGAGAACGAGGAAACCAAGAGACCAGGCACGGCTTGGCGATTCCCTCCTGCCGCCTGTCTGCCCGCGCCCCCAACTACCCCCCAACAATAAGACCTCAGCCTAGACAGCCAGCCAGCCAGACCGACCAGAGCGCGGCGGGGGAGGCAGCAGAGCCAGGCGCAGCCGAGGTGGGGGGGTCGTGCCTATAAAGGGAAACCGGGGGGAGGGGGTCCCCCTTACCTCCAGCGCTTCAAAAGTGACAAAGCTGGTCATGGCAAATCCATCAATGATGTCCTCTTCGGCCGAGGTGGACT